TTATTTTAAATTTATCTTAAATTAAATGTTATTTTTTAAGATATCTAAATATTTTTTTCTTATGTCATTATTATTAATTTATTTTAATTAATCATTAAATCACAAAAAGTCTTTCATTCTTTTATTTCTTTTTTAGGGGTATTGTAGATAAATATATAAATTGTCTTTAAATACTTAATTTGGAAAAAAATAAAAGTAAAAAAATGATAATTATTTTAGCATAGAGAGAGTATATAATAAATTTATTAATGAGTATATTTAATACATTTTCTAATGAATTAATTATCTTACACGTTTTATTTTTATCAACCAAATGTATTTTTTTTCCTCTAACTAAATATATATTTTAATTTGTTAGATTCTTTTGCCATCTTTTTTACTTATAAAACTAATAAATTTTAATTAATTTTTTACCTATCATTTTATTTTTTTTAAAACATGCATTAATGTCACTCAAATTAAGAATATTTTAATCTCACGGATACGTATGACCTTTCCTCAGATCATCACAGTTTAATAAAGAAGGTCAACTGCTGGCAGGCAAGACTTTCTTGTTGAAACAAGTCAACTTCTCTGGACCTTGCAAATCGACAACCGTTCAAATCCAAGAGCAAGCCATAGTGACGGTGTTGCCTTTCCGGAGAAGCCGTAGAGGAATCCGACGATGAAGAACGTGAAACCCACAGCGAGAAGCGAAGTACTACGGCTCGGATCAACGATAAAGAACGCGAATGCGAATATCGGTGAGAGATCTCTTCCTTCCAGACTGCCAATGTACGATCGTGGACAACCGAAAAATGCTACCTCTTACCTCTTCTCAAACTTCCCCGAGGATTGGTCCCCAAAGAGACTCTGGTTTCTGTTTGCAACCTATGGTGCTGGATTAGGACGGATTGTAGATGTATTCATCCCCAGAAAGAAGGACAGAAAAGGAAACAAATTTGGCTTTGTCAGATTCTCAGAGGTCAGAGATAAAGCCAGATTAGAGAAGATGCTCAAGATGATCTGTTTTGGCACTGAACAACTCAGGATCTCCCTGGCAAAGGAGAGGAAACCACTACAACCAGCCCTTAAACACCACCGTCCACTACCACCTCCACCACCACCAGGAACCCTCAAAACGAAATCCTATGCTGAAGCCCTACTAAATGGCCTTAACTCCCCAGATTCTGATAGCCAAACACGTAGGACAAACGCTATGCCACAAACCTGTCCACTGGTAACCGAGAAGACAGAGTAAAACGAAGTTAGCATTGAATGTGGAAGATGACATGGAGGACTCCAGTTGGCTTAACAGTTGTGCTACAGGGGAAGTTCTCTCCCTTGATCTTATTCCTGGTCTTTAGCAAACCTTTTGGGAGAATGGTTTCTCTCACATCACAACTACACCAATGGGGGGATGCAAAAGGTGAGGGGTTCTTGGGTGTTGAGGGCTTATGGGGTATAAACAAAGCTACCTGCTATTTTGTGAATGTTTATGGACCATGTAATGTGGCTGGTCGTGCAAAGTTGTGGGAGGATCTATCAACTCTTATTGGAACCTTGAATTTCTTTTTCTGTCTTGGTGGCGACTTCAACTGTGTCAGAGGAATGCATGAAAGAAAAGGTAAAATGATCTCCCATCCTGGTTCTGATGATTTTAACCTATTTATTGAATCAAACTGTCTCGTAGACTTGCTTGCATCAAACAGAAAATTTGCATGGTACAAGTGTGATGGGTCAGCTCATAGCAGATTGGATAGATTCCTCTTATCAAAAAATTATCTAGAATGTTGGGGCAATTGTGTTCAATTAGCATTAAAAAGAAGTATCAGTGATCATTGCCTATTAGCCTTGTCTTTGACATCCATAATTGGGGGCCAAAACCTTTTAGGTTTATAAATAGCTGGTCTTTGCATCTTGAATTTAATCATTTGATTGAGAAATTATGGAGCTCTTTTGAAGTTGAAGGGTACTGGGGTTTTAAATGCAAAGAAAAGCTTAGAAGGCTCAAGCAACACTTGAAGAAATGGAATAAGGAGGTGTTCGGTAACATCGACAGTCAACTTGAACAGGCAATGAAGAAAGTTGACTTTGTTGATATAAAATGTGAGGACCAGGATCTTTCAGAAGAAGATGTACTCAAAAGAAAGGATGGCTTCGAAGAACTATGGCTTTGCTTGAAAAAGAAAGAAAGCTTGTGGAGACAAAAGTCTAGGGTTACTTGGATCAAAGAAGGGGATGCAAACACTGCCTATTTCCATAAATTTGTAAACAGCAGGAGAAAAAAGAATATGCTTCATGGGGTTAACAATCAAGGCTCTTGGATTGATGATCCTATTCAGGTGAAACAGATTGTTTACGATCACTTTAAAAGCCAATACTCATCACAGTCTACCCAACAAGTACAACCATCTTTTGACCATTTGCAATTTTGTCGATTATTAGAAGAGGATAGAATATTGCTGGAAGTTGAGTTTACAGATGATGAAATTAGAGAAGCAGTCTCCTCATGTGCAAGTGACAAAGCCCCAGGACCCGATGGATTTAACTTTCACTTCATCAAGTTGGCATGGGGTACAGTAGGGGTTGATATAATCAACTTCATCAAAGAATTCCACCAGAATGCAAGACTGGTCAAGGGAATTAATTCCTCATATATCACACTTGTGCCTAAGAAGAAAAACCCCACTTCCTTGAAGGAGTTTCGGCCAATATGTACCATTGGGTCTATGTACAAAATCTTGGCTAAGGTGCTTGCTAACAGACTTAAGAAGGTAATTGCTAAGATTATTAGTGCTAGTCAATCTGCTTTTATTAAGGGTAGACAACTTGTTGATTGCTCTTTTGCTCTTAATGAGATTATACATGACTTGAAAATTAAAAGGAGGAAGGGCATTATATTCAAAGCTAATTTTGAAAAAGCATTTGATTCTGTGGATTGGGGATATCTTGATAAAATGCTTTCCTTTTTGGGTTTTGGTGAGAAATGGCGAAGCTGGATTAAAGAGTGCTTAAGGTCTGCTTCCATCTCAATTCTTGTCAACGGTAGCCCAACCGAGGAATTCAATATGCAGAGAGGTTTGAGACAGGGAGACCCCTTTTCTCCCTATTTATTCCTTATTGTTGCTGAAGGTTTTCATGCCCTTCTCCTTGAAGCAAAAAAAAAAAGACGTCTTTAAGGGAGTGGTGATTGATGATAAAACTTTTATTTCTCACCTCCAGTTTGCTGATGACACTGCTCTAATTTGTGAGGCATCTATAAATTCCATCTTGGCCATCAAGTATGCCCTGAGATGGTTTGAAATTATGTCGGCCTCAGAATAAATTTTAATAAAAGTGTACTAATCGGGATCAATGTGGATGAGACTTGGATCAGCATGGCTGCCTCTGCCTTAAACTGTAAAGTTGGGAAAACTCCCTTCATTTACCTGGGGCTCCCTGTTGGAGGAAATCCTCACCGTCATTCTTTTTGGAAGCTAGTGATTGAAAAGTTTCGATCAAAATTGGTATCTAGGAAAGGAAAGCTTCTTTTAATCGGTGGCCGCATCACACTTCTCACGTCGGTATTTTCTGCTCTACCTCTATTCTACTTCTCTATCTTGAAAGTTCCAAAAGGTATCTTAAAAGAGCTCATTAGAATACAAAAAAACTTCTTATGGGGGACCTCAGATGAGTCTAAGAAGATTGCATGGGTAAACTGGGAAAGGGTATGTCTAGCAAAAAATAAGGGTGGCCTTGGCAACCCAAACCTTGCTATTAAAAATATTGCCCTTTTAGGAAAGTGGTGGGATAAGTTTTATGATGATGCTGAAAATGAGAAATTGTGGAAGAAGATAACTATTAGCAAGTACTATAGTGGCACTTCAATTGTTTCAATCTCCAACACTACATCTTCAAAAATATCTGCAATTTGGAAGGATATTTTATCTATTAGCAGGGATTGTGAAAGAAATACCAAGTGCTTCTCTGAAGGTTTCTCTCGTCAGCTTGGTGATGGATACGGAACCAGATTTTGGAAAGATGCCTGGGTGGAAACTTCTCCACTAATGCTTGTTTTCCCTCGACTATTCAAGCTCACTCTTGGCGAGAACTTATTGGTGGCTGATCTAAAACCAACCAAGGGTGAGGGATGGATTCTCCAATGGCGCAGACCCCCTTTTGGAAGAGAACTAGATGAACTTCAAATCTTGGAAGACATCCTGCAAAATGTCAGCATCTTTGTAGGAAAATCAGATCAATTTATATGGAAGCACTGCCCTGCTGGTTATACTACAAAAATGGCATATCTTTTTCTTGACATGTCTCCCCCTTGTCTGGATATATTCTACTGCAAGTTAATATGGAGTCATCTTATACCCACAAAAGTCAGTGTCTTCTCTTGGCGTCTTCTATTAAATCACCTTCCCACAAAGGACAATCTCATCCAACGTGGTATTGACTTAGCATCTAGATTTGGTTGTGTGCTATGTAATGGTTATTTAGAAGATGCAAATCATATTTTTGCCATATGCATTTACTCCCAAAGCATTTGGAGCCGCATATGTTGTTGGTGGGGTTTTTCTCTTGTTTTTCCTGACAAGGCCCTCGATCTGCTTACTCAGCTTTGCTCACTACCAGTCCCTCAAGATGTTAAAGATTGTTGGGTCCTCTCCATATTTACTACTACTTGGGCCATCTGGTATTTTAGAAATGGAATTGCTTTCAATAAACTTGAGTGGGATGAGGACAATTTAATTGAGCTAGTGAAGACTAAAACATTTGCTTGGATAAAAGGTAAATTGAAACCTGCTGCTTTTTGTTTTAGTGACTGATGTCAATTCCCAAAATTATGTACTACTCATTCTTAATATGACACAGCACTCATCCTAATGTAATGGGTGAGTACCCTTTGTACTCATAGTTTATAATACATTTTTATTCATAAAAAAAAGAATATTTTAATCTCTTTGTATTGGTCTTAGTTTTAAATTATATTAATTATTAATTTAAGCCTTTACACCTCTTTTTTCTATTTATTCTCCAATACAAACATCAAACACA